AATCTGAGCATGCGTTCAGTTTGACCTTTATAATTACAGGGACATTTTAGGCATGGGATGCGATATACTACTCCAGATTGTTCATTCTGCTTAAGCCGGTCTTTTATTTTCATCACTCTGCCGCGCATTGTAGCTTTCGGTCTGTGTGCAATTCCAACACCTAGTGCTCGATCATTTGTCTTCTTTACCAGTTGTAGTATTCATAGGATACAGTCACTATGCTACTGCCCACTTGTGACAAGGCCTCCCCCTATCGAGGATATTTGTCCGATTGTGCGCTAATGGCTTGATAGCCGATGGGCAGGTTTTGACCTGCTGAACTTTCATCACACACAGTGGACCTGGGCGTGCTGATTGCTCGGCCATCTAGTTCCCTGGCGCTGGCGTTAGATGACACTCTACTAAAGGAGGAATTACTGCAGAAGACGAGTTGTAGCCGAAAATATCCAAGTGGGAAGAAGGATTTAGAGGAAAGCTAGCTCTGAGAAAGGAAGGCTGCTTGTCAACTGTCCTCTTCTCGAGGACGCACTTAGCGAGCTTTTTTTGAAAATAATGTCGACTCATCCTACTGCAGCAACAGAATTTTGCCTGTCGTCATTTAAAAGGCCAGTTTGCCACTTCCGGAAATAAAAAGACAAGCTGTCGGTTCTGACAAACTGGTAGAGCAAACTGTACCCTTCGGCTGGGTCGACACTCGTTTTAGAACGCAGCGAAGCCTGTGTTAGTGCGGCTACGAAAATATCGTTCGGAAAAGGCAACAAAGAACTCTATCCTCCTCCACCATATATTTGGAATCCGTAAACGAGTTGTTGACCATCGAGCCTTCCAGGGAATTTGGACGAAAATGCGTTTTTACACGTTGTTGAGTGTGAACCTTCTTGCAACCAGCAAATACCCACAGAAATACCCTTTCTTACTTGTGTCCTAATTAAATTTCTACCTTTGGGTGATATTCTGCGTCATCCGAAGAGGAAGCGATTTGGCTCCAAGCATTTCAGCCGGCAAAATAAGGAGATGGTGGCATTTACTATTCCTGTGCGTAGTTCTTCTTATCACCATTATCAGAGCCAATAACGTATTGCTCTAGAACACGCCAGATATCCCCTTAAATGGTCCATATACAGTCCTCTGAATTTTCCTCATCCATTTGAAAAAAAAATGCCTTCAGTATGCTCCAAGAGCATTCAAAACTTGTCCCACAGACTGACTGCCTGTCGGCCTGTTCGCTTTCTAGATACGCCCCTACAAAGCATTTTAATCTCACAACAAGCCAACCCCTAGTTCCATGCTATCTGGTGGGCAAAAAACGCCAATCATCCTCATGAATTCTACTCCGTGTTGCGTTTCCTCACCACGATGAAGGGTGCTCGTCATCCTACTTCCAGTGGGTTCGTCGCGCGGCCTTCTTTACTCGCATTTTTAAGTTCTGTTTGACATTGTCCTGCCCTTTATTCATGTAATGGCACAGGACTTGTGAACTGCAGGGAGGTCTAGGTACCTATTGACAGAGTTGGAATCTTCGAACAGGAACCATCCTTAAAAGAGGTGGCATTCTGTTAAATTCCAGTGGTCGTACGTCAAGAATTAAGGTTAAGTTTAAAGCTGAAGTTAGCTTTATGATTAAAGTAAGAGCTTCGGTTAGGGACATGGACCTTGCCGGGGTAAGGATCAGAGTTAAGGCTAATGTCAATTTTCGGGTTAGGACACAGTAATATTTACCCTTCTTGTAAGTTAGCGCAAGTCCGTCTGTTTTCAGTATGAGAGGCTTTCCCTTTTCCAGTTGGAGGCCATACGATTAATCACGAGCGGGGGCAGAAAGAAATACCATTTTAGCAGGTTCGAAGGCCTGAGCCAACTGCGTAACATCGCTCCAGGAGGCATTGTGTTGACTAGTAAGCCCGTTGGCATGACCGCCATTCGTTGACTGTCATCCAAAAGCGTACCAGCTGTGGACAGCCCGACAGCCCCACCTCCGCGGGTTTTTTTTATGTTTTTGGCGGGCAGCCAACAACACTGGCCGTCATCCTTGTTCAGCGCCCCCTACTTCAAGGTCACGCAACTTCACCATCTTCAACCTCCTAAATTCTACCCGTGTACAGTTTACTCATGAAGAAAACGCTATCCAAATACCAAGGTTTTTCTCAACAAATTGTCCACCTAAGTCTTCGACGCTTATGAGAGTTTTTGAGACGGGCGTAAAATTCTTCGTGTAATCTAGTGCTCGCGGGGTTAAAAGTGACCCTTTCACACTGCCAAGCTGACTATTGTAACAGCTTATGAGCGCCAAGAGGCCATTTGCATTTATTTACGAGAAGAGTCATAGTGTGTCCTTCGTAAATGGTTAATTTTTAGTATTTATCGATAACAGGAAGGCGCTACTTACTAAGTACTCGTCACCATATCACCGCCCGCCGTGGTCAACACTAAGATCTTCAATAAATATCGAATTCGACCTTGACCAACTGGGAGACGGTCGTCTGCAGTTGTGTGAACTCTCTTCACCTTGGATTTTACCATTGAATCCAATTTCATTTTTCAGGCTCATTCTTCCGAAAACACCTCTGGAGTAATCTCTTTTGTTTCAAAGACTAGTTAACAATGGCTTGACAGTGTTCTGTAATTCTTGACAAATAATACTACTGGTTATAAATCGGACCGATAAGTAACTATCTGTGTTTATTAGCAATCGCAATAGATATTGCCATTTTTTAATCTCCAACACTAGTTGCTCGCCGGTGGCTCCTCACTGGGAATAGGTGCTTCCGGAAAAAAAACATCAGCATTTATGGAGATTTTATATTTGTTTCATGACCAACATCTGAGGCTATCATTACGTTTTCGACTGCGTTGCAGGTGTTATCTCCGACCGACCCTGCACTGATGCCCTGTTTGTAAATAACGCGGCTCTCATCACCTCCGGCGTGGCCTGCATCATTCTGCCTCTTGTGACCTCTTACGCCGGCCAGGTGTCCTTTGCGGCCACCTACGGCCTAGCTATTGGTAAGTGCTTCTATCCATGTCCCAGCTCGTCTGTGTCTGGTCTCCCGGGTTGAAACTTCGGCTGACCTGACTGTCATAGATCATATTGTGTTCAGCGAAATTCGGTTGTTTGTTCGCTGACGTTTCCTTTGTCAAAGCGTGAACTGACTTTATCGATCATAATCGTAGGATAGTCTGAGTCTGCGTATGTCTCAAACTGTCCTAAGACTAAGGATTATCGACAGAATCCAAAACGTCAGGAAAGTAAAACTCTTGTTCCAATGATCGCACTTTTTTCTTCTGAACGGCTTCCTGGAACTTTAAGATTTCTCAGTCTTCACCCATTGAACTCCATCATCGTCGATACATACAGGCGGTTCATCACATGTGAGGGCGTATGAATGCGGCGCGCGTTAGAAAGAGCCTGCAGGCCGCGTCAATCAGTTTGCTCCATCCAGTTTCGGACCGAATACATAATCTATGTCATGGATGAAGTGGAACAGATAGGAAACAGGAAGTTCGATTACCGTGGTCGATGACTAGGTTTCAGCCTTATATCTCATCAAACGCATGTTGCTGTCAGGACTGAACGTAAGGCTGCGATGCCTCCTTCTGGATGTGGCCTTTGTAATTATGTTCTGCGAGACGTGCGATACACCCCTCTCCAGGGGCCAAGCACGGGTGAGATATGTGGCGACGTGAGATTGGCCACGCTAATCCTTGACCCTCCACCCATAAAATAATCGTTGGTTATGGATGATAGAGCGACCTTCAATACAAGTCTGATTCATTATAATCTATTCTCATCGGTTGCACCTACAAAATTACCCTGTTACTTTCAATGTTGTCTGCACGTGTAGCCGCCTTCGCGTCACTGCGCATCATCCTATTGGTGGAAATGCTCGGATTGGATCGCCTGACAAACGCCTTTGGCTTCCTTCTCCTCTTCCAGGGACTAGCCTTTATGGCATCTCCGCCAATACTAGGTACAGTGGTCGCCATAGACCATGTAATTTTCCTAAATTTGTTTAAGTTTGATGATTACTCCAATACCAGTGTGAATGTATTTAAGAAAACATAG